TCCTCTGTTTCATAAGAAGTCGGTCTAAGCCTTTCTGATTTTGTAGGAACACATCTGCAAGGAAGTCTAACAGTTGTTCTCATTCAGAAATGGATGCTGGCAGTACCTCTAGATCCTGATCAGTCTATCTACTTATCTTTTTGGTTTTTTTTGTTTTGTTTTTGTTTTTCGAGACAGGGTTTCTCTGTATTGTTTTGGAGGCTGTCCTGGAACTCGCTCTGTAGTCCAGGCTGGCCTCAAACTCACAGAGATCCGCCTGCCTCTGCCTCCCAAGTGCTGGGACTAAAGGCGTGCACCACCACCACCCGGCTTCTACTTACTTTCTTACAGTTTTGTCTCCCGTGACAAAGGCTGATGTGTCTATGACTGTTGAGCTAGTTGTCCCTGCTCTGACCAGGAGTGGGATGAGAACAGGAGCAGCTTTTTTTCCCCCCTGTATTCCAGGGTCCATATTAAAATGCACTGTTTTTTTCCCATTACATAAATTATAAAAAGTGGCACATTTAGTCAGGCGTTAGTACAACGGGCATCAGAATGGGGGAAGCGCTTAGGTTAAAGGTTATAGAAATTGACTCGTTTCAGTCTTACATAAGTCCTCTAATATTAATTTAGGTTGCCTCCCACCCCCCCCCCCCACATCACAATGAGTTTTGGGCTGACAGTCTGGTTAGGTCTTACCTCTATGTGTCATGGAGTCTGGATTCAATGCATAATCAGCAATCCTGGCCAATTACAGATTGAGAATGTAATTAACCCTATCCCCAAGGTCCCATCCTGTGGCATGGGGTTTGATTTCCTAGGTTTTCCCTTTTCCCCAAAGGCCAGACTCTTTTTTATGGAATCTTTACTTTTTTAATTTTATGGCCATTGGATTACATTTTCCTTTTGTGCATTGCTAGGGAAGGTACATTCTTTCTATATATTCATATGTGTGTTTACAGGAAAACTGTTTTACAGCCCCAGTTTTGCAAACAAAACTCCCCTGTTCCTGGCAACTAAGAGGCCCAGCCTCAGGTATGCATAGAATTGTAATCTCTCTATACTAACCTCTAAAGATGGACTCCCCCTCATTCCTTTATCCAACATAAGCAGATATTTAAAGTGAGCATCAGTGAGCAGAGGGAGAGATGAAGTATGTCCTGCTGGTCTATACCCACATTAGCTCTCATCTCCTCTGTTTCTGTCTTTCTCGGTTCTCAGACCCAGGTCTGTGGACAGTGGGGTTGGAACATGAGCTTGTATTCCTACCAAACATAAGACGCAGGAGGAAATAGAGGTGCATTGAATGGAAGTGCCATTAGGTAATGGGCCCGTAGTGCGGGAGACAGTGCATGTGGCAGGAAGTGCCATTAGGTAATGGGTCTGTAGTGCGGGGGGGGGGGGGGGTGCATTTGGCAGGAGCATCTGTTACTTCGCTTTCTTGACATGGATGCGGTAGATCAATGCTGTAATGTGAGTGGAGTAGGAGTAGGAACAGGAGTGGAGACAATCATCACGTATGGTGCAAGGTTGGTTCCAGTACCTCTTTGGCTAAGCCCTTTGGCCCAGACAGTATCACGAGACTCAAAGCACAAGTTGGTGGTAAACTCAGAGGTTGGTGGGGTCTCTGGGATAGTCCACTGGATAGTCCATAGGGAGAAATGGTGGGCTTGTATTGACTTGAGAAATGGTTAGAGAGTTCTGTCAGCTTCTAGTCTTATCTGGAGGACCAGTGGGGGAGGACTTCCAAACACAATCTCATAGGGGATAAATTCCTCCCTATATGGGGCTCGGGGTGCCCAAAGCAAAGCAAAGGAAAGGAAAGAGGTCTATACACCCTTCACTGGACTTTAATGACAGTTTTGTTAGAGTTTTTTTTTAATGTCCTGATTATTCTACTTATCTACCCAGAATCCTGAGGTCTCTAAGCACAATTAAGATCCCAATCTGTCTCTATAATGTTAATTATCAGTGATTTAATACATATGATCTATAGCTAGTAGGGAATGATTAATGGCTAAAAAGTCCTCCCTTTTATGTTAGTAATCCTTCTTGGTACCTAATAGCAAATTGTCTCTGACTGAAGTTGCTGGAAGACAAGATCCCAGGACCACAGCTTAGTGAGTGCTCCCAGCCCTGAGCTATACAGCCATGACCATCTCCTACAATATGATATGACTAGCTGCCATTTTGGCTTCTGTAATCTGCTTATGCAGACACTCAAGGACTATTCTTGGGTCCCCCTGACTACCTAATCATGAAGAGCAAACAGCTCTTGGTTTGCTTTTGCAGATACCCAAGGACTTCTTGTGGTTTTCACATTTAGAAATCTTTCCCTCATCCTCACCTCTCTTGGTACAACAGCCTCTAGTTTGGCTCAGAATTGTTACCCCGCTAGCGCCTATAATACACTTAGTTTTATCTAATTATAATCATAATCTGAATTGGGTCTATGGTCTTTTCTCAGGGGACTCTTACAATGTACTTTCAGTTTCAGGTTAGATTTGAAAGGGAAGCCAGATGTTTTTCTTTTTCTTTTTTTCTCCCTCTTTTTTAAAAGTTTAATTTAAATTAGAAACAAGTTTGCTTCACATGTCAATCCCAGTTCCCTCTCCCTCCCTTCCTCTCCCACCCCCCCTTCAGCCCTTCCCAACGCCTCCCCCAATCCCCACTCCACTCTCCAAGGAGGGTGAGGCCCTTCATGGGGGATCATGAAGTCTGTCATATGATCCAGGGCAGGGCCTAGGCCCTACCCCATGTGTCCAGGTGGAGACAGCATTCCTCCATGTGGAATGGGATCCCAAAGTCCATCTGGATGACAGGAAGCCAGATGTTTTACAAACTATTTCAATAATATACATTGTATTTTGTTACTATAACTTTTCCATTTTCTATCTTTTTTATTTTGTGCTCTTTGTTTTCGCTTTTCTTTGAGACATGGTCATATTAGCCTGGATTTGCGTCTTCCTGGCTTATGTAGCTGAGAAAAGCCTGAACTCCTGATTTTCTGGCCACAAAACTAGATTTATTAGTACAAAATCAGAACCCAGGACTGGTGGCTGTTTGACAATCACTCTATCAGCCAAACTGCATTTACAGCCTGTGTCTGCATAAAAAATAGGTTATTCTATTATTCCCCACAAGACTCATGTGTGTATGTGTATGTGTGTGTGTTTCAGAGAGAGAGGGGGGGGAGAGAGAGAGAGAGAGAGAGAGAGAGAGAGAGAGAGAGAGAGAGAGAGAGAGAGAGAGAGAGAGAGAGATACTGCAGAAAGCAAATGTTGGTTGATCTTTGCCTGATGCTGCAACGATAAACGGCACACTTGCTGAAAGTAAAAGTAAGTATTTATTGTAGAAAATACCCACAAGAGACAAACAAATAACCCAGATGAGCCGAGTAGTTTTCCACCGTCGAACTGGAAGCCGGAAAGCCGAAAAAGAGAGGGAGATTTCTGCTGTTCAGTCTTTTATACCTTCTAAAAGTGGGCCTGGCTAGTGACGTAGTTCACCGCCTGTATAAACTACTGGTACGCCTGTAGTGACCTGAGAAAGGAATGGTTTTAAAGAATTTACCAACTGCTGGAATCTGAGTTGATGAAGCAGTGGGGGAAGTGTTCTAAACAATCTCATAGGAGAAAAACTCTCCTTACATGGGGTTCAGGGTTCCCAAAAGGAAGGAAAGGAAATGGGTCTACACACCCTTCAGTGGATTCCAAAGGGAGTTTTGTTATAGTTGTTTAGGGCTGTTTTTGTTTTAATGTCCTCATTATTCCATTTATCTGCCCAGAGCTCTGAGGTCTCTATGCACAATGAAGATTCCAACCTATCTATAAAATTTCACTATGCATTTTCGAAGATTTGATTGATATTATCTGCAGACAGTGGGGAATGGTGTAATGACTGAAGAAATTACATTTTTGTTGGGCATCCATTTGACTCTGACTTAACTTCTGGAAGATGAGATGCCAGTAACCTCAATTCAGTGATTTCCCCCACCCTTACTAAGAAGTGTCCACCCATGACCATTTCCCTTGTTGTATCACGTGACTAGCTGCCCTTTTGGCTTCATGACCATTTCCCACTTTATGATGCGACTGGCTGTCTTTTTGTCTTCTGTAACCTGTTTATGCAGACACTCAAGGACAATTCTTGGGTCCCCTTGGCTACCTAATTTTGCAGAGCAAACAGCTCTTGGTTTGCTTGTGGTGATACACGGGGTCTTCTTGAGGTTTTCACATTTAAAACCCTTCGGCAATCCCCACCCCTATTAGCTCAACAGTCTCAGGTTTGAGTCAGACCTTGTTTTCCTGCTAGCCCTTCCAATACATTAGCTGATGTAATTATAATCTGAAATGAGTCTACTGTCTTCTCCCAGGGCCTCTTACTTCATAAAATGGGGAGTAAGGGGAGCTTTATGCACTTGGATTAACCTTCTTTGAGTGAGTACAGAGCACAGACTTCCTGGTCCATATTGCATCAAAAGATGCCAGTCTGGGTTTCTGAGATGGCTCAGCAGTTAAAATCCTTGATATGTGAAACTGCCAACCTTGTGTGTGATTCTGGAGCCTGCATAAAGTTGGAAGGAGAGAACTTGTGACACAGACTTACCCATGACCCCAAACACATTTCAAGGCATGAACATGCACACATCAGGCAATCAACCAATACAAAAATTTTTAAAATTGATGTACTTATCCATGTCTTCACAGATGATCAAAGTTGTAGAAATTGACTGACAGGGCTCAGTAGTTGGCTGTGTTCCTCAAGGGATAGGATAGGGAGTGAGTTTATCTAGGTCAGCTCTTATATTTATGACCTAATCAACTTGTCCTGCAGGACCATGTTGACAAAAGTACAACATGAATTTATTCAGTTGTATCAGGATCAGCATTAGACCTCAAGCCTTAGGAGAGTTCCTCAAACAAATAAAACAACCTATAGAAATACATGGAGTCACAGAAATCAACGTATGGTTATAGATGGTTTATTTCACTAGATGGTGACACTCATCACATATTGTGTGCTTTAAAGCTGTTAGCGCTGATGATGCAGATGAACATTGCTTTTTGATCATAGCAAAGTATCAAAGGGTAGTAAATCTGAAGTCAGAATCAAGCTTCACTGACAGACCCAGTAAGTTCCTGGAGAGTCTGTGGAAGTCGTGAATATTAAAGTAGATACCCCCCAAAATTATCACCACTTCATTTTACCACAGACCTTAGAGAATCTTCCAAGTTCTAGCCCTTTGCCCTCCCTTCAGCACTCAACCCCATGAACTGCAGGAAAGCTATTGTTACAGCTCAGCAAGAGGAAGCAGCTGGACCAGGAGACCAGGTAGCACCACAAGCAGCAGGAATGCAGGGCTGTCTCTGGTTCCTGCAGATGGGAGGAGAAGGAGAGGTTTCCATGAGAGATATCTCAAGACACAGTTGTCTCCCCTAAAGTTCAACACCCAAGAGAGTAGGTCCTAGGGGGTCAGTGTGCCTGACTAGACACTTGTGGCTTTCTCAGGATTCCTAAAGACCTTGAGTATGGATGTGAGCAAACTGATGGATCAACTACTTCCAGGGTCCTGTGCTCTAAGACACTGACTGGGGAGAAAAGCATTTCCTGTCAGGAGTCTTCCTGGCCGTCTAGGGAGCCCTCTGTGCTTTTCCTTCCTCACCCAAGAAGAGGATTCTGCATCTGAACCTTGTGAATGTCCATTGTTGAAGCAATGTGCATTCCTTCTATGTCACCTAGTGTGAACTAGAACCTACCTGTGGCTCTCAGCCTGCCTGGACTGGACGCCAACTGTTTCTCCCCGTTGGACAGCATCTTTCTGGCTGGACTGTGTACCTGGGTAGGACTTGTGCTTTCCTAGGGCCTCATCCTGACTCTGAAATTCTCTATGCAAATGTATGAAGTCCCTGTGATCATTTCCTGTAGTTTCACTTCCACTTTGAAGGACTTCTCATGTTTCCAGAAACCCCTCTGAGTGTCAAGGCAGATAGTCTATCTGTAACACATCAGGTTGGCTCCCTGGCCTCTCAGTCAAACCTAACTTCCTAGGACAACATGTAGTGGAGCCTGGATGTAAGTAAGCAAGACACTGTACATTTCTGAGTGGTGGGGAGTAGGAGACAAGATCTCTAGACTGTAAGCAAGTGATGTTCTTGTAACTGTCCAGCCCTACTCCAGTGTGACTTTGGATCTGATGGCTGAGAAATGTACATAGGTCTTCATTTTTAAAAACAGAAGGAATTTGGGGAATGATATCTTCATGTCTTCAATGCTTCTCTTTAAATTCTGAAAGCAATAAGACTAGAATACTTGTCATTTGAGTCTTTATCATTCAAATGGTCAAACTGCGGCACAGATATCTGAATAGTTGCCAAGAGTCACAGAACCACGGTTGATTGAACCTAATTACAGTTGATTCTGACTCCAGACCTAGTACAGATAGCATGGTGCCGTAATTTTCTCTGAAAGTATTAACAAAGGATTGCGATAAATGGACTAATCTTTGAAAGGCAGACAAAGACCCACACTCACCTGAGCTGTAGAAGCAATTGAAGTTGCTTTTCCCTCTTTGTGAGACATCCAGAAGAATATTGTCATTCAGTTTTCCACCTGGTGATACACTGACTTTGTGGTATACTTCATAGCCTGGAATTAACACCTCCTCTTGTTCAGAGTTGTAGGAAAATCCAGCTATGTGAACCCCCAAGCAGGTGTGGATGGTAAACAGTGTCCCACTAGCACCACCAAATCTATGAGCTATCTCCTTTTTTAAAGATGAGGAAGCAAATTGCCCAAACCGCACAGGGCCCTTCCCGCTGTAATGAAATTTGTTCCTGGTGCCTCGGTAAACTGTGTAACAATTATTGTTATTCAGAAGCTGAAGAGCTCTTGTTAAGTAGTAATGGAAGGCCTTGAAATGAAAGTTACTGGGATTTTCCTTAAATTCTCTAACAGCTTTGTTAAAATTGGAGTAGATGTCCCCAGTATACGTTACTAAAGCTGTTCCATGGTAATCACTGAAACCTTTGGGAAAGTTCCTTGTCTTTTTTATCTCCTTCCATTTTTCCTCTGCCTTTTTCCACTCAACTTTTAATTGTTTATTCATGTTGAAGTCGTCTTCTAACAACTGAGGTGCTTTTATCTCCATTTCTTGGACACAGCCCTCATACTTATCATCAAATGCATTGGGAGCCATGTCCAGATTGGAAGACTCAGTCAGGTCTGTCACCTGAAAGGAAGAAGTACAGTTCTTTGTTACTACCTAAGTTGGCTAAGTTTTCAACTCGTGGTGGGTACTGCCTGGAGCCTGCAGTATGAGATATCACATACTCCAACCTCATACATGGCACTGGCATGGTTACATTTCATTATGTTATAAGGGGTGCAGAAAGGCAAGACTGAGATCTCTGATTCTTTTGTGTTTATAGATACTACATTTTTCTATTTCTTCAATCAAATCTTTAGTCAGCATACAAAATAAAAGGCCTACCATCATATTTTCATATATTATGCATATATATCTATATATGTGTGTGCATTGTTCATAATCAGCCCACACACAACCTTCCCCCTTACTGATAACGTCTCCAAGATTCATGCCCTCTACTGTTCTCTATCTATGGGAACAGTAATATCATGAAGATGTGGGGAGGGGAAAGCAGGGTCAACAGAGTGTGGGTTGAGAATATTACCTGGTGGCTTAACAATCAAGTTAGGAGAAACATGAGAATTTTTGGTGTCATCTTCACGTTGAAAAACAGCTGCAAGCAAACATAAGGCATTGAAATAGGCGTGAACACAGGATTGTAGGTCTGCTGATCAGCTCTGGGTTAATGACTGAGTCTCCATTTCACATTTGGAGGTTCAGAGTCCTGCTCACACTACTCCAAGAAATGATTATCAGGACTCTGAATAGCTCTGCTTGGGTCCCTTACTAAAGATGAGGTGACTGAAATCCTCTGACCCCAGGATCAATCGATTCTGGTAACACACAGAGCTAGGTAGTATGTAGACTACAGGGAGAAACAGTCCATATTTTAGTAGAACTGTCATAGTCCCTGATATTTAACTTTCCACATCTGAATCTACTTAAATTCTTCTCCATATCTGAGTAGCTCGTGCCTCACACTCTGCTAGTTACCTTTGAACGACTTTTAATGCTGCCAGTATCCTCTGTGATTTGGATGTGTTTGTCCTACACAGGTCCCCAGTGTTGCCAAATGAAGGTGGGGAAACCTTTAACAGGTGAGGTCTCCTGGGAAGTGACTAGGTCTGGTAGGACATCACCCTCAGAAGAGATCACTTCACATGTGAGAATCTGCTCAATTCCTACATGAGCAACTCTGGTCCCAGAACCTCTCTGGCTCCTCTCTTGCCATGTATCCCCTTCTGCACAGGGCAATGACTTCTCTGCCTTATTGTGATTCTGCCAGGAAAACCCTAACCAGCCAACATTGCCATGATATTGAGACTTTCCAGCTATTAGAATGTGAACTGAATAAGCACCTTGACCTCATAAACTTTCCAGTGACAAGTATTTTATAATAGTAATAAACACAAACTGAGGAGATACCTAAATGGGTAAAGCACTTGGCTTGCAAACAAAGATCTGAGTTTGATTCCCAGAACCAATAGAAACCCCACACAGACTGAAGATATGCAACTTGAGTCACTTTGTCTCAGTATGAACTCCTGCAATTTGTGACAATTAAAATTCCCCCTGGGAATTTGTACCTCAATAAACACATTCATCTCTCTCTCTCTTCTCTTACTTCCTCCCACTCTCCTTCTATCCTGCTTTATATCTGCACTCAATTTTCCAAGATCCTACAATAAAAAAATAAATCCGTGTTCCCAACACATAGGAGATCTGGTGCAGGAGTTCTTTGAGGTCTTGGTTAGACTGAGCTACACAGCAAGAACATAGCTTTTCACATTCTTAAATTAGAAACGGATAAATAAAATAAAAACGAGGATACAAGCTAATGTTTGCTTGGAGCTGGTTGGAAAATGGGATTATGAGGCTATTTCTTGCCCAGAACTGAACTTCTGGCTTTAACCCTTGAGTCATAGACACAGACCCCCTCTGATAAACCAACTGCAGCCCTCAGAGTTTTCTGAGCCCCTTCAATTCTGGAGGCCTTCACCTTCAGAGGACAGAGTTCAAATTTGTCAAGGTACCTGAGCAGATCTTTGGTGGCTGGGTCTCTCTCTGTCCTCTTCTATCAGCAAGTATGAAGAAGTATCCTGTGGGCAGTATACTTTCAGGGTGGATTTGAAAGGGAAGCCAGATGTTTTATGACCTACTTGACTTACGTATTTTGTGTATTGTTACTATAAATTTTCCTTTTTCCAAGTGTTTTGTTTTGAGGATTTTGTTTTACTTTTGTTCAAGACAATGTCCCATTAGCCCAGATTGGCCTCTTCCTAGTTTATGTAGCAGAGGAAAACCAGAATTCCTGATTCTCTTGCCAAAAAACTAGATTTATTTGTGCAAAAATAGAACCCAAGACATGGTGTTGCAAGTTAATCACTCTACCAGGGAAACTGCTTTTCCTGCCTGTGTCTATATCAAAAATAGTTAGGCTATTTGGTGATACCCACAAAACTGGTGTGTGTGTGTGTGTGTGTGTGTGTGTGTGTGTGCGCGCGCGCGCGTGTTTCAGAGAGAGAGAGGTAATACTGCAGAAAGCAGAAGTTGGTTGATCTTTGTCCTATAAACCAGTCTTACAAATTACCAAATTACCTAAAAGCCGGTTGTGGTGGTTCACATTTCTCTCTCTCCCTCCTTCCCTGACACCTTCCCTCTCTCCCTTCCTCCCTCCTTACCTCCCTCCCACCCCCCCTTCTCTATTTTATGTGCATTGACTTAAGGGTGTGGAATCCCCTGCAACTGGAGTTACAGACAGTTGTGAGCTGTCTTTTGGGGGCTAGGCATTAAACCTGAGTCTCTAGAAGAGCAGTCAGTGCTTTTAACCCTTGAGCCATCTCTCAAGACCCTAGAAGAGCCTCTGAATTTGAGACCAGCCAGGTCTTCATAATGAGATTCTGTCAAGGAAACAAAGTTACCACCAAATCCCATGAGCCCTTTAGGGGAAATAGGTAAAGGCGAAGAAATGTGATGAAGTTCTTTAAAAAATGTTCTTGTTGATTCTTTGGGAATTTCACATCATGCACCCTAATCCCACCCATCCTCCAGCTCATCCACATGTGCCCCTCACTCTTCTTGTGTCCCCCCGGAAAGAAAATTAAAAGTTAATTACTAAATGAAAGATAAAAATTTTTAAAATGGAGGAAAAATGCTATAAAAAATAAAATATTGAAAAATAAATCTATCAATTGAAATTAAAAAACCAACTATCTAACCAAAAAACAAACAAAAAAGAAAAAAAAACAACAAAACCACTCTGTTTCTCCATTTTTCCTCTCCGTTTCTTCTTCATCTTTCTGGCATTGGGAGCTGCTGTTTATCATGAACTATACTCTTTGTCTAAATATCTTTCCATTGCAAATGTTCGTTGTATGGTATGTGCTGTTGGTCTGATTCAAGGCCCCCGGCCTCTAGCATATCATCAACACTAGATTCCCAGCAAAGTCCGCAGATATCCTACTGTTGCTGCAAGACATGAAGACCATATTCCACAGGACCAGTACCTACACACTCCAGCAGGTCATAGATAGGGGAGATGTTGGGTTGTCCCAGTTCAAATATCTTGTTCTGTACCTGGGTGGCTGCTGAGTTGGTCGTTCCTTGTGATGGGAACCTCTCCCTTTAGGTGAGGGACAGGACCAGTTCTCAGATGCCTGTGTTGAGGGGTGGGGCCCTCATTTCCAAGTGTGGGGGTCCAGCTCTCCTATTAGAGTCGAAGCCATTTTTTCCATGCCAGGGTCATTGGGGTCTTTCATTCCAGAGCTGGTAAAGGACAAGGTCAGCGCTCCAATAAGGAGAGCAGCTATATCCTGGTTAGTGAGGGGAAGGGGCCAGCACAACAAGAACCTTGTACTTGAACTCATGGTTGAACACTGGTTTCCCATAGGTCCCTGTGGAAACACAGCAATGGATAACACACAGACTCCAGTTGTAGCAGGACCAACGAACATTTCCCACCATATGATACGACTAGCTGTATTTTTGTCTTCTGTAACCTGCTTATGCAGACACTCAAGAAGTATTATTGGATCTTCTTGACTACCTAATTCTGCAGAGCAAAACAGCACCTGGATTGCTTGTGGTGATACACGAGGTCTCCTTGAGGTTTTCGAATTTAAAACCCTTCCATCATCTCCACCCCTCTTAGCTCAACAGTCTCAGGTTTGACTCAGAGCTTGTTGTGGTGATAGCACCTACAATACATACAGCTCATTAGAATTATAATCTGAATTGAGTGTAGGGTCTTTTCCTAGGGTCTCTTCCTCCATAACATGGGGAGTAAGGGGAGCTTCTTCTTCTTGGACGAAACCCTCTCGCGGTAAGTACAGGCACAGACATCCTGGTCCACACATGCTTCAAAGGGTGCCTGTCTGGGTTGCTGAGGTGGCTCAGAAGTTAAAATGCTTGTTGTGGGAAGCTGACAACCTGACTTTGATCCCTGGAGCCTGAATAAAGGTGGAAGGAGAGAACTCATGACACAGAGTTGCCCATGACCCATAAACACATTTCAAGGCATGAACATATCAGGCAACATACTAATTCTAAAATTTTTAAAATTAGTGGGTTTATCCATGTCCTAAGAAATGATCAGAATTACAGAAATTAGCTTACAGGGCTCAGTAGCTAACTGCATTTCTGAAGGAATGGAGTAGGAAATGGCTTTATCTAGGTCAGCCCTTACATTTATGGCTCACTCAATTTGTCCTTGCAGGAGCAGCTGTGACAAATATAAAACATGAACTTTCTCAGCTTTGTAAGTGTGAGCATGAGACCTCATGCCTTAGGTAATTATCTCAAACAAATAATACAACCTATAGAAATACCTAAACACAAAAATCAAGGTGTTATTACAGATGGTATATTTCACTAGATGGTAACATTTATTCCATATTGCATGCTTTAAGGTGTTGCTGGTGACCACAGAGATGAACGTTGCTTTTTGATTATAGCAAAGTATCAAAGGGGTAAATTTGAAATCAGAGCATAAAGTTTCACTGACAGATGCAGTAACTTCCTTGAGTGTCTGTGGAAGTTGTGAATTTTAAAGTAGATATCCCCCAAAATTATCACACCCTTCCCTCTACCAGAGACCTTAGAGAACCTTCCAAGTTCTAGCCTTTTGTGCTCCCTTCAACACTCACTCCATGAACTGCAGGCACGAGAAGACTACAGCTCAGTGAGAGGAAGCAGCTAGACCAAGAGACCAGGTAGCACCACA